GAAGAAAGTAAGTCATACAGGTTTAGAACGACATGAGGGTGAGGAAATGATGATGGAATTTACTGTATTGACCCGAATATAAGACAATGTTTTTTTCTTGGAAATACATCTGAAAAAACGTGGTCGTCTTATATTCAGGGTCTAGACTTTGACATATCAATAATACACCCACAACAATAGGTGGCGCCAAATACGCATAAAACGAGTGTTCCATGAAATACGTAATGTAATGCGTGTTGTAAAGATCGCGAGTAAAAACAAAAGAAAAAGATATTGGTGGGCTACTATTAGATGGATAGCCTAAATGTCCTAATTCAGATGGGCTACCTGTTTTTTTTTTTTTAATGGTATATCATAAAGTGTATATTTTTTAAATGTGATTGTTGGTATATTTGACCAGTTTTTACCATACTTTCAAAACAAAAATTAAAATAGGAAAAATATGCAATATGAAAATAATTGAAGACAAAATGTGTTCTACTGAGAAAAAAAACTAAATTTGTTTTTTAAAAAGCCTTTTTCCAAAAGGTACATCTGGAAAAAGGGGGGGTCGTCTTATAATCAGGGTTATATTCGGGCCAATACGGTAGTAACAGTAAATTTTCTGCATTCTAGCTCAAAATCAATGCTTTACTGTCAAGTACATTTCTATGTGACAAAAATGCATTACTCAGTAGGCTAATATCTATAATTATTTGTTTCTGTCCTGTTTTATTATTCATTTATTTACTCCAATTGAAGGCCCTAAAACCCAGCAAAACATTCACGGGGAACTTATGGGCCAGATGGGCTGGATTTGTCAAGGGCTGAATTTTAACCCCAGTCCAGCCCTGTATGTTACTTTAGAGACACAATTTAACAGACCATCTGATGACTGGTTAGAGTTCAGTACTCAGATAAAATCCCATATTGCATTAACGAATAAAAATGATGAGAAAATTTGTCTCAAAAAGACAATTGGCAAATGTACTTATATAAATGTCATTTGTACGTTTTAATTGAATGATGAATTAATAATGATCAATTTTGTCAGTGCTGTCACAAGGGTTCTTACCAGTCTTTAGAAATCGCACAGGACCCTCATATCATCCTGTATGATTTCTAAAAAAAGAAACTGTCATATTGTCAATTTAACAATTAATTCAGATCTTCCAATTGTACAAAAAATGTATGTGTGTTTGAACCATGAGGTCTTTGGAAATGTTTAATAGTTTGATTAGATGTTTGAAATCTTGTGCAGTATTCAGACGTGTGAAATCCAGATCTAATTGTAGCCATCATGGCTTTTGTTCTGGCATAGACAGGTGACCATCTTTGATAGATGAATGTGTCAACATTATGTCCTGTTCTGTGATTACTTCTACCGGTAATTCCATTCTGAAAAGTGGAGCTGTTAGCAGAATGATGTGGATTGAATTACCGCTTTGAGTTTTAAACATGAGTTCTTCTCATTCTATGCCCTCTCTTCAAGGGTTACTTATATCATCTTATAGCAACTGTGTAGTTATACAATACTCTGGCAGGTGAGAGTTCTGCCGCAAAGCTACTGCAGAGCTTTGATAAGTGTCAATTTTTTTCTTCCTGGAAGTGTACGAATGTGCTGGGGGGTTTCATCAAACAACTAGGGAAGGGGTGGTCATGTGATGAGCACATGAAACAAGTGGAAAGACAGAAATAGAGCTAGACGTACTACCACTGTGAGGATGCTTTGAAAATGCCCTATGCGCAGTAACAGTGTTAAATCAAAGCGTCTTCATGCGCCAACTGGAAATCCCGAAACCTCAAGTCCATATTGTCCTGGCAAGAAGATTCACTACGAATGTTGTGGGGGGGAATATTGTAATGGTCTTTTTATTTAAGGGAATAAAATAAAGGATTTAAATGGATTTAAGGATATAAAGAAAAATAAGAAGATTTTTCTGTAACTAGAACTTTTTTCCAATTATATTTTTATTTTCAATGGGCTAATAGACGAATAAGAGTGAATGTGAGCATGATACAGTATGTTGAAAACACAAAATTGCAAAATGTTTCTTGTCTCATCAGATTCAGTTATGATTTACATGAATCATGCAAATGATTCATCCTATATGTTCAGTTCAAAGTGGCAACATTTGACAAAAAAGTCAAGTTTGCATCACAGATATTGGTCATTTCACATTTGACAAAAAAGTCAAGTTTGCATCACAGATATTGGTCATTTCACATTTGACAAAAAAGTACGTCAAATATTAAATGTTTTGTTAGACTGTGAAAAAAACTCCATAAAATTTACGGTAAAAAACCAACAGCTGTGGTTGCCGGAATTTTACCGTTAAAAATACGATAGCAATGTTTTAGGTTTTACGGTTTTAACTTAAATTTACAGTTAAATACCGTAATTTAACTAACTGATATAATGTTAATGTTGCAGGTGGTGATGAGAAAGTCACATGATGACCCAAAGCCCATCACAAGCAGCTTTAAAATAATAACATATATAGAAGGTGTACAGTGTCATTCACACAAACACTAAACACCATCACGGTAACACACATGAAACTGAAATAACGCAATAAAGAAGCATTTAACAACACTAGGTGTAACACACAACCCTAATATACAAAACTGATAAGAAAAAACTAAGAAGAAACATAGTTATTTCAACAAAAAAACATCAAATTTGAAATGTAACACATTGAATTCTGGGAATGTCAATTTACGGTTATTCACTGTAAATTATACGTTTTTTTTTCACTTCCAAAAATGGCATACTACCGTAAAATTTATGTCCAATACAGTTTTTCACCGTATATAGTAAGGGAATTTACCGTTAACCATTTAACAGGTTTTTACTGTAGCATTTTTACAGTATTTACCGTTAAATTCACAGTCATTTTTTACAGTGTACCTGAATCTTACCTCACACTATTTCACTAAAGCATTGCTTCGGAGTTCATGTTCGGTCTCTGTGAACGGTAAAGCCCGCCTTCTTTGATTTATTTGGCAAGTAATTTTGGCATTGATGAGTTTTGGCCATTTTTAACTATTGGAGGGGACTTATCCCCCTAAATTTCTGTGGTGCTCACAGCCCTGCGCTAGCTATAGTGTTGTCCATAACACCTGTAAGCTGGGATTCACTGACCGCTGGGCATGTCACTTGGGAATGAGGAAAGTTGGCAGCCAAACTGTGAAATGCGCCAACACTAATATTGCCTGGGGCTTCAGGTCATTATATCACCCCATCTTCTGCTCTGCCCTCTAGGCTGATTCAGCCTGTGTCTTCATTCATTCTCAGGTTGCTTCACAAGACCCAGTTTTGGGGACAAAACATTCAGTTGTATAACTTCACAAAACTCTCTGTAGTTTCATGGGTTTCACAAAGGAAACAGTGATCAGAAAAGAGCCTTGAAAGACCAGACTGTTCTGATAAATAAGAAAAAAAGGAAGATTTGCCACCTATCATACATTAGGTAAGAATGGCTTATCAAGACATGCTGGTGTACAGCAATTATTCAGGACTGAGTCACAATCCAGACCATTAATAATGAAAGCAGACAAATATGTGATTGTCAGTGTGGGCTTTTGTGAATGACATAATCTTTAGTTGAATGTTGAGAAGCAACCCAGCAATAAGATATTAATAGTCGTCTCATATTTCACCTATCACATGTGAAATAAAGGGATTCCAGGGCTAGTCGTCACTAACAGCAGTGAATATTTCTAAAAGGAAGATTCAGTTTTCTGTGCCTTGTGACAATTTCCCAGTGTGTCAACTCACCCTAGTCTTTCCTATTACCTTGTATGGCCCATATTGTATTATGAGTTCATTCTTAACTGTTGACACATGCTGGGTTTGTTAATATCTTTGGTACAGTACTCATTAAGTTTGTATTTGATATCTGTGTTGACACATATTGAGTAATAGCAAGTATGGAGTTTGCATCAAAACATAATAAATTTGCACCAAAACAGATTTCTTTCCTTTTACAGCGGCCTTTGAATTATTGATTTTGTTAAGTGCCACACTAAATAGTCTAAATAAAATCAACATTAATCAGCTGATGACACTTGGTTGCTTATTTGTGACTGTGTCAAGGAAGTTGGTAATCCACAGATATTTCATGTGTTATTCCTGAGAATGTGCATATAGCTTCATAACAAATGCTCATCATGAGGTAGAACAACATACAAATCAAGATAGCAGAGATAGTCTCTGATCATAGAGGATGAGCATTTTCAATCATACCTTATTTTAGTGCAGTTTTCTTTAGATGTCATCAAAATCCAAATACAGTTCATGTAAATCAAGCTGTTCAAATCAAGTAAAGATTCACATATACTGAAGTCCTTGCAACTTTTTAAAAGTGAAATGTCCAGTGGCACACAAAACTAAAAATATTTCCTAAAAACTAAAAGCATTTTCTCTGCAACAGATTTTATATTTTATTACAGTGATTTTTGTATGTATCGCAGCAGTTCGGAAAGTAAATCTCTGGTGAGTGATGCTGAAAAGTTAATGCTCTATTGCGCTTGAAAATAACATAACCTTCCACCTACACTAAACCCTTCACTGAACCTAACCGATAGTGTTAAGCAAACATGAGATAAGCAAAGCATTTTCTGAAGTATTTCCATTTAATCTTGTTTCTACGAGTCTTTGAGCTTTTTGTTGAGTGTCATGACTAGTGTTTCACAGGATTCACATCCTGAGTGCTCACCATTGCAAATGCTGTATGTACAGGAATGTTTTTGGAGCTTAAATCTAGGAACAGCCACGTTTTTCAATGAGTAAATGCTGCTGCTCATCACTTTGATTTTTGTTAATTCCATTTAAAATTACACCCTAATTGAGATCCTTTCTAGTTTTCTAGTTGTGCTAGAAACATAGGACTAAATTCTGTTTTATTTAAAAAATACCTCCTGCTTTAATAACTTAAATGTAGTTTGAAATGTACTTGTTACGTCTGGCTATGGTATTTACAGCCACAAAGTATTCTTCAAGGCGTCTTTCTTTTCAGTTTGTTTTGCAGTTTGGAAAAACCATCACATGCGCACAGTGACCAACTACTTCATCGTGAACCTGTCCTTCGCAGACATCCTGGTCACAATCACATGTCTTCCTGCGAGTCTTGTGGTGGACATTACAGAAACCTGGTTCTTCGGACAGACCCTGTGCAAGACGCTACCTTACTTACAGGTGAGGAAACTGACAACATATGCACTTTTGCCACTATATTTTAGTTTATTTTTGTAGGGAAGCCCTCTCAAAATGAAGTTTCAAATGTTTCGAGATCTGTACATTTGTGAATTATGACACCTTTGATCTTGAGCATCTATTACTTCTGACACATCAGTAGACCTACCAGCAGATTCTACTGCTAGAGGCTGTGTGCGGTTTTTTAAGTGAATGCTTTGCTTCCTCGTCAATAAATCACATCAACAGTTTAAGCTCTTTGAAAGAGTTTTTTTTTGGAGCTAGAGATGTACTGCCATAATATGACATGCTTGTCAACATCAATAGATGAAACAGATGGAGTTCCTTAGGATGACAACATGCTCCTCTGGTCATTTTTTAGAACACATTTACTCAACCTTCTTTCTTGGAAGGACCTGATGAATGGACTTTAATATTTAATCTGTCATATCCTTCACAGTTTAAGAGCTACAAGTTCCGTTTGTTTCTTCTACATTCCTGATAGGCATGGTTATCTTCTCTATTTGGATGACTGAATATTAATGAGAGTTTTGAAGTTATCAAGACTGAAGAAGCAGCTGTGAGCCATGGCTGCAGCTGCTTCAAGTATTTTAATCAAGTGTTTTTAATCACATTCATGCCTTTTGACTCTCAAAGAAAGTCAAGCTGATTGATGCCAATATAATGTAGGATGCTTGCATCTTGCAAAAGTGTGCAAGACACAGACGCAAACTTCTTTGAGCTGATGTTTAGAATAAAGCCAGAACATCAAAAGTAATTCTACTTGAGCAGCACTAGAGTATGGAAAAGACTCATATAGATGCTATGCCAAAGCGTTCAGACATTCGCAGTATGGAGCACTTCAAAAGCATATCTGTTGGAAATTGACCAATTTGCACAGAAGACATGCATTTAAAATCAAGCAATAATCATGTTATCTGATGTCCTATTGTTTTAAATAGGGAACTGTTGTTTTAGAAATGTGATTTCAACAATCCACCTTTACATACCTTACACCACAACTGAAAATATATATTTGTCAGTAAATCAAAGCAATCCAATCCAGAATGCTACTGCACAATACATGCATGCATTCATGCTGATCATCGATGGTGGTCGTCATTTCAAATTTTCCAGGCCATTTTATGGGTTTACATTTATGCATTTGGTGGCATGATTATCACTGCTCCACTGATTTTAGCAAGTTGATGTTTTCGACCAGGGTTTCCCAAACGGGGGATCATGAGGGAACTGCAGGGGGTTCGTGAGTTGATGAAAAACTAATAATTAATTACACTGAATGTAAAATTTAAATAAATGGGGCTGCATGATAATTGTAAAATGATCCTGTGTTCAACGCCTCAGAGCAGCTCAGTTCACAGTAAATGCAGTGAATCCATCTCTGCTTGTGCTGTGAATTTAACGTGCATTTGGCAATACAGCGTGTGCTAGGTTTACTTTATTTACATGCTTGCATTATTTCTTGGACAAAACTTTTGTGGACAGAAGTTTACAGCATTTCACCAGTATTTCACCAAAATAAAAGCTCAAGGGTTTGAATGTTTGAAAGTGAATGCATAAATAGGCATAAAATATAAAATAAAATAAAATATAAATTTTTGACTGTGGACTGAGACACTATCACAAATAAAAAGCGAGTTCACTTTAAAGTCAAGCTACAAAGTCAAAATAAAACACTTAATAAAAGATTAAATATTTATTCTATTTAATTGCATGTCATGAGACCAATTACCAACATCAGAGAACCGTGAACATGCAAATGTTGTTGAATTATTGAAATAGTAAATATTAAGTTCTAAGAGTAGGGACACACCAAACTAACACCGAAGAGCTAGCACTGAGGAAAGCCAATGGCGTGACATCGTCTATGTCGGGGCAAAATATTTGCAATAGAACACATTGGACAGACTACAGCTGATGGCCAACTAGCGTACTAGCAAACACAGAACGTTCCCCTAATGTTAGTGTTTGGTTCCTGTTTGGTTATTTTTTTGAGAACCAAGAAATAATAGATAGAAATATCGATCTCTTTATTGAATGATTACTTAAAATTCATATCATTATGTGAGTAAATATGATTTTGGATGGATTTGACATGCCTAACTGAAGATGCTAATCGAGAAGTTTTTGTTTTCGGATCAAAAGAAAACTGTACAAACTGCACTTCAGTGGTAAGAAATGAATGTATGATATCCTACTTTAAGTCAAGTAATTGTTTATTATTTTTTTTTATATCTGTGAATAAATGTCATATTTTATAAACAATAAATTGTGTTGAAGTCATTTTTTTTTGGTGCTGAAGAAATGTAAAATCTGGGTACCCCATAATCGTACATATAAATGAACAAATTTTATCTTATTTAATATTACATATGATGGTTGATGTGCTCAGATTATTTTTATTAATTAAACAATAGATGCAATAGCAAGGGATGGTTTTTATAATACTGATCAGGCATCCGTACAGATCACTTCCATGCTTATTCTATACTGAGCCGTGAGTGTGCTGTATGATTACTGACGTACAGCAGGGTAACCATATCGGAGTAAAGAGGTTAGGGGAACGTTATAATAATGTTTTATTAACATTAGAATAACGTTCTACAAACCAAAAACTAATGTTCTAAGAAAACTTTCCTGTCTAACCAAAAACATACCATAAAAAAATAACGTACTGGGAACCAAAAACTAACATTCTTGGAACCAAAAATTGTTAGCTGGGTTGTACGCTCTGCACTTGCGTGAGAGAACATACTCTCCCATATCAGCAGGTGGCAGTAGTCTGTATTCGGCATTCAAACTGGGAAACTGGAAGAGCTAGAAATAGTGGATATACAAAGCAAGCAGCGCTGGCTTTTACCATTGTTTACTCCAGCCGCACTCATTACCAACGGATTCGTGTAGCTTTTTCAGTCACACGCAATAAACCATTAGGCATTCGGAGTTAATGTATTTAAGAAAAATTAACAGACATGCAGCCCAACATGTTAACAAAATATAAAAGGAGAGAGAGAGCGCGCACAACATCCACCGTGTAAATAATATGAAATTGTGCATAGTGTAAATTACATCCACTGATCTATAATAGAGAACCGGATTGCTCACGACATTATAAAAGTGAAGCCACCACGCTGCCATATTGGCATCCCCTAGTATTCCCATACATTCTATTGAATTAATAGGAAATCGTAAGATTTTAATATGAAAAAAATCACCCAACGAGTCAGCGTTTTTATATCTGAAGTCTCCCAAACATTCTTACAATGCAAACGTCCTGAGCAGTTATTTGTTTAATGTTGGACATTTCTCCTGTGTATTAAAAACGTTACATTCATATTACAGTAGCGAACACAAGATGAACATGATAAACACTAGACGGACGAAATCCACAACATATGTACCGTAAAACTTCAAATAATAGCCGAGTCCCAAATAGACGCCTGTCTCAAATAGTAGCCCGGGCTATTATTTGAAGTTTTACGGTATTACAAATGACAAAGTGCTCATTCTGAAATTTGAAAAAAAGATTTATGCTTTGTATACACATATACTTGAATTCGCCTTGTACAGTTATTTCCCTGTTTATGTAATTTTAGTTTTATTATTTGACTGCAAATGTTTCGAAAATGATTTCATTAACAACATTCATTTTGAAGCAGGTAATGATTTAAATTAAAGTTGGTTAAATTAATGATTAATTCAACATACATAATGCTAGTAAAACGCCATATAATTTTGGAGAGTCTGAAATAGATGTAGCTCAATCTGGACATTTAAAATGTACACATAACTTCAGAGAAATAACGCTGACTACATACGGTACGGACTTGAAGACATGAAGCTATATTTCCAAGATGATACATGGTAAGTTTTGAATTTCAATATGTGGCGATTAGAACTTAGCACTAATTTAGTAATACCGACTACGCCACCTCGGGGCCTATTTCCAGGGAAACGGCCTTGACATTAGAGCAAGGCTCAAAGGTTCGTTTACTGAGTCAGATATCAGACATAAGTTGGGTAGAAGAGAAACTTTATTTGCAGTCAATAAAAATATCAACTTTAATACATGAAAACACCACGACAAATCAAAAACAGAATAATCACCTTAATAGCACATATAGACATTACCATTTCAGAATTGAGGACTGGTGCTCCTAAGCAGGATGGACAGCAATCATATGTGCGCACTCACACCACAGCACACCACATCTGTTAGTGAACACAGCATTCAGGCGAGAAACCCACCACCAACACACGCCGATCCTCTGCAGCTGGCCACCCCAATTGTGAAAAAGAAGCAAAAAAACAAGACAGACAAACACACACTAAACTAAATATTTAAAGCACTTTAGTCAGGGTGACAAGCACCTCACACAACAGTTTTAAAAAGATAGTTTACCAATTCGCCCAATAATCGAGGTGCCGCGTCCAGCAACCTCGACGACCAATTTGCTGACAGACTGAAGCAGGCAAAAATGACCTCAAATAAACAACAATAACAAAGATTCTTCAAAGATCATTCAAATCACAACAAGAGAAAGAAAGAGACATGAATATATAGAACGCACAACCCCCCCCCCCCCCCTCCCGTTCATGACGTCATCCGCCGTGACGTACCGCTCAGCTATTGGACTGATTTCACATGTGATTCAGAGCGTGGGTCACTGAAGGCGTTCCCCTAGTGTTCTCGACGCAGCTCGAGTTCCTGAAGAGGAACAATTCAATTCCCTTGAGAATCAAATACGCAAAGTAAACAACAAAAACTGCAGAAATGACTGATGACAGCTAGGTGGCTGATCGTCTTTTACGCACCACGTTTTGCTTAACCCATTTGTGTACGATTATTCTAAAAATAATTTTAATGTCATAAAAAAAAAAAAACGTGAATTGTGACTGGCTGCACAAGTGGTGTAGTAATTTAGGAGGTGGATATACTGTGAAATTACTTACATATACTGTATATCTGGCATAAAATTTGAAAGCATATCTAAATGTCTGAAACGTTAGTCAGTAAAGCATTTTCTTTTAACAATTTGAACTAAAATGTTATTGCAGCCATAGCCTATGAATGAATGAAAATGCATATTTTAATTAAAGAGAACTGCTTTTGCGGCTTGAATTTGTGCTTCAATAATGAGATCCAAGATTAAGAATACACCGGAAGTGAAAGACGTTGTCCCTCAGGTAGACTGCATGTTTTCTTGGCTTTCTGGATGTTTCATCAATAATCATGTTGCTTGCATTCACACAAACTGATTTGCTGAAATCAAAACGTGGACGGTGAAGGGAATCGAGGTCAGCATGAGTCCCGCACTGTGAAGCGGGAGCGACCAGCAGGCAGAGGATTCTTCAAGCCTTCCTCGATCGGCTACATTCACAAATAAAACAATGCTTTGTTCAAAAATAATGATTAATTATCAATTGTTCTAATGTTAGCTAAATTAACATTAAATTTAGATTGTGTAGAAGGCTAGCTAACATTACCTTCTTACACTATCATTGACTCAAAAGTGCTTTGAGCTGATGCCATTTTTAAATTTACAAGTAATCAGCATTTTTACATTATTATGGCCTAACTGTTACACTTGCTGTACCCATGTTAGGGTCCTAAAAATACAATCAAGTCCAAAGCTCAGTGTGGGAAATGGTAGTAAAAGGTAATTTATTATTATTATTTTAATATATTATTATTTATTAAATCTCATTTAGATGTGGTGTATTCGTTGTCATATCGAACACAAAAATGGCGGCGAGCATTGCGGTAGTGATGTCTTCAGTACCCATGAATGCGCTGAATACTTGCAAAGATTATGTCGTATTTATATGCTAAAATAAAAAAAAGAGCTCAGTTTTGTAGAGTTGTTACTGAATTTTGAATTCAGCAAAAAGTCGCGTTACACATAATGACCTGTCATTGTTTACATTACGAGTCACTTCAGAAAACTCGTGCACATCCCTAGTCCTACTATGTATTATATGTGGTTAGTGTTGTTGTAATGCTTAAATATAACAATTAATTTGAAATAACACAATAAGTTCATTAAATTATAATAAAATTGAGGGATTTAAGACAAATCTGGGGCTATCCTAACTTTAAGAAGCTATTTACGATGATTTTTAAGAAGATTCTTTTCAAATATTTGAATTCTTCTTAAGTTTTGTCTTAAGAACAATCTTAAGAAAAAAGAAATTATCATACTTAAGTAGAATTTTTGGGAATTCAAAATATTCTTAACATCTTTCTTAAGTTAAAAAAATAAGAAGAAAATGGCAGTTAAAAAAAACAAATTTCTTAAGAGAGTTTAGTGGATCTGGCCCCAGCAGGTTTGTAAACATTTGGAAACTTAAAGGGGTCATATGATGCGATTTCAAGTTTTCCTTTCTCTTTGGAGTGTTACAAGCTGATTGTGCATAGATAAGATCCCTGAAGTTACAAAGACTAAAGTCTCAAAACCAAAGAGATATTCTTTATCAAAGTTAAGACTCTGCCACGCCCCCCTAAAACGGCTCGTTCTAACACGCCCCCACATATCTACCTCACTATGTGGAAATATTTGCATAATGCCGCCCAAATGTTCACGCAAAGAAAGAAGGCGTGGTTTCAGTAAATGCAGTTAGTGTTGAAGCAGCCATGTCATGGAGACGCTGTGTGTTTCTAGGCGAAAGCAAAAGCACTTTATTTGGTCTTCCGAAAGTAGATGCATTTAGAAATCTTTAAGATTACTTACAACAAAACAGCAATGCATTTTATGGACGACCGTTTCGTGAACCTAGGAGAGGAGGTAATTCTGATTTTGCTATGACAATCTGGCGCTTCTGAATCAGCTACTGTTTTGTTATTAGTTTAAGTATTTGCTATTGACTGTTCAAATGCGGAGTCTTGCGCATCGTGTGTGTGTGCGCAAGCGAGCGAGAGAGATAGCGAGAGAGAGAAAGAGAGAGAGAGAGCGCGTGAGAGAGAGAGAGGGGGGGGTTGGGGTCACATCACAGTGGAGTCAGCTGTCTTAACCGTGGCTTGTGTACTGCAAACACATACCAGCTTCATCACTGTGTCTGTCACGCGACTCTGTTCCCTTTCGGGCTCTGTCTTTACATTTATTTTGAAAGATGAAGCTTGCGATTATGGTAAGGGGACTTGACTTGACTTGACTTGACTTGACTTGACTTGACTTGACTTGACTTGACTTGACTTGACTTGACTTGACTTGACTTGACTTGACTTGACTTGACTTGACTTGACTTGACTTGACTTGAACAGACATAGCATGAGCAGACTTGACACAAACAGACTAGACTCACCAACAGCGGGTTAAATACATTCAATACACGACCCGGACACAATGGGAACATGAAGCTACTTATAGGAAACAAGAGGGTCACATGACAAGAACAAACCAATGGGAAACAAGACACATGACTAAGACAACCAATCAGAACATGACACATACACAAGGCAGAGAGACATGAGGCAAGGGAAGCATGACACTAACATGGACCATGAAACAATTACAAAATAAAAGACATGGAAAACATGAACATGAAACAAAACACCACATTACATCAACATATTCTGTTACACCAAATACACAAAATAATGATCTTTAAAAAAGCATCATATGACCCCTTTAAGTATTTATAAAGCTCTCTCATTTACATTTATAACATGTATTTAGAATGCACATTCTTTGTCTGTTCCACACTGTGGGTTCTGAGATTCTATCCTCTGTCTGTTGTCTTTCAGACAATCTCTGTGTCTGTATCAGTTCTGACACTGAGCTGCATTGCCCAAGATCGCTGGTATGCTATCTGCCACCCCCTGAAGTTCAAGAGTACTGCCAAAAGAGCCCACAAGAGTATCGTTCTGATCTGGCTGGTTTCCTGCGTAATCATGATTCCACAAGCCGTAGTCATGGAATGCAGCAGTCTGCTCCCAGAGCTCACCAACAAAACCAGCCTGTTCACCGTGTGTGATGAACAGTGGGCAGGTAACAGATCCTTTTATTGCTGAAACCTCTCCTATCAAGGCACAGTGGGGCTATATACCATTTTAGACAGGCCATTTATTTTTGCAGTGTGAGTGTAGAGCGATAGTAAGGTTCAAGCACTTATCGACGGCAACCTGTAGAACACAGTTTGTGGCTGAAATTGTCTTCTCTTAAAACCTTCAGTTAAAATAAGCTAAATCAAAGATTTTGAGAAAAAAAGTTGTAAAACAACATGTATAAACTCTTAATGTTTTGAGAATATTCCCAGATTTGTGAGAACAATCCCCTTTTATAAGAATAAAGTCATATCATTATGGGCCCTAGTTTAACATTCTAAGTGCATGGTCTAAAGCACACGGCTCAGGTGCACTTAGGGCGTGTCCAAATCCACTTTTGCTAGTTTAACGACGGGTCGGCGCGCCCAGGCACATGGTCTAATGCCGGGTCCAGACTACACAATATTTTTGTCGGTCACGATAGTCACTGTGTCAGATTACACAATTTTGACTCCTAAAATCTTGTCGTTTCGTGGACAAGAAACATGTCAGACTACACGTTGCTTCCCGACCATCCATCGTGTGCCGTCTTTAACGACACGCGTGATGTCATCGAGAAGGCAGAACTAGCGACTGACTTCCGAAAACAAGAGTGTAAACATAGCTGAAGCGCTTCCGCTATAGTTTGCCAGCATTTTTCTTTCTCTGTTCTGTTGTGGTAGTCCCTCGATGACACATCATACAGGCAGGAGTACTGTTGCCACAGCTCCACGAACCTTTCCTCCATCTCATAATTCCACCTAGCAGCACCATCATCTCTCTTTCGTTTCGCCATGTTTGAAACCTGTGTCTGAAAGAGCTTCTGTGCTGCTATTGGTCAACGTCACCAATGTGACAGAACTCGTCTTGGACGACGGAAAAAAAATGAAACATGCTAGTCTTTCTGTCGTGATGTCGTGAAGCATCACAGATGCAGAATCGGTTGTCATCCACTAGGACTCACTACACGTGCTGAAACGATGGAATCTTGCGTCCCGACGCCCATTGTCGTTTACGAATCCCTATGGCACACTGCATCAAGCAAATCGTGGCAAAATCGGGCTAAAATCATGTAGTCTGAACCGAGCATAAATGGTTTGTCCCTATTCTCTTAATGAGTAATGGGTGTGCATAACGTACAAAAAAACCAATCAGAGTCTCATCTCCCATCCCCTTTAAGAGCCAGTTGCGCTCGTGCCATGGCAGATTTGCTATTTACATGGCGGAATTTGCAAGCGCAAAGACCGAATGCGTCTCCAGAGAGGAAACGGAGCTGCTTGTGCGTGAGCAAATAGGTAGCCTAATTCTGATACATGCAATGACTATCCATTATGACATAATCGTGGCAAAATCGGGCTAAAATCATGTAGTCTGAACCGAGCATAAATGGTTTGTCCCTATTCTCTTAATGAGTAATGGGTGTGCATAACGTACAAAAAAACCAATCAGAGTCTCATCTCCCATCCCCTTTAAGAGCCAGTTGCACTCGTGCCATGGCAGATTTGCTATTTACACAGTGAAATTAGCAAGCGTGTCCAGAGATGAAACGGAGCTGCTCGTGCCGAGCAAATAGGTAGCCTAATTCTAATACAAGCAATGACTATCCATTATGACATGTAGGCATTTTTATATTTATGTAGCCTACACAATAATAATCCTAGCCTACACAATATTATTGTGTAGGCTACATAAATATAAAAATGCCTACACACAAACATTTTTAAAAATGAAAAATTACATTCTGTCATGTAAATAGCGAACCCGCCATGGCGCGAGCGCAACTGGCTTTTAAAGGGGATGGGAGATGAGACTCTGATTGGTTTATTGCACGTTACTCCCAAAAAACACCCATTAATCATTAAGAGAATAGGGACAACACGTTTAGATCATGCGCCCGGGCGCGCCGACTGTTTTCTATGCAGACTGAATACAATGTTAAAAAAAAAACTAAAAATAACACTAAATAAAATAAAATAAAAGAAGCAATTCTGTTTAAATAGTATTTTAGCTTGACACCTGAACTTGTATGGATTCAAACATTTATAGTGCTGTGCAGCATGTTCCCTTAAAAAGATTAAATCTGTTTGCATTGATCGTTGCCTTGCTGAGCAAAAAGACACCATGACAGATGAAAATACATCAAAGGCATAGAGCGGCTCCCTGATGAGAAACGTGGGCTATCCCCCCTGATGAGTTCTCACAATGGCCCCCAATGAGTCAGTTATGCCACAGTGACAGCAGCCCATGAGAGGGCCCATGAGACGATTATTGGGCCAAACAGTAATCTCCCTTGTGGCAGACAATTTGCTGGACAAGAAAATAACCTTAAATCACTTTTTCCAATATCGATCAAGTAGAATTTCATAACACCAAGTCAAGGATTGTATTGCATGGTTACAATTGCTGTTACAACAACAAAGCGAATGAGGTTAAAATTCAGATTACTAACTAGGAATATTTCAGTGAGAATAGAATAAATGAGTTAAGCTTGTCCTCGACTTCTCCTATATGAAATACTTAATAAAGGAGGTTGGACAGGCTTATTTAAAAGCTTATATAAAGCTATTTTTATCTTAATATCACATTCTTGAAATTTGATATTAAAACATGGAAACTTTTAAGTTGAGTTTTTTGCTCGTCAAAGTGCAGGGAGTTTCACAATATAAAACAAAACATATTCATATTAATTAAATTATTAGCTAAAGTCTTTGCATAAACCATTTTGAACTAAACATTTTTGCCCGATCCAAGAGGCCAACTTTGACTTCACCTCATTGTATATGCCTTAGCACTATAAATATAAGATTAAAGTGAAATCAAAAGTGGATCTCAGAAATCGACATCTCCACTCTTTTGGGAGCTGCCAACATTAAAAATCTCTTAAAAGAATCTTCTCAATAATTCTCTGACTCTCCAAAGACTTTGATGCTCTGTCACTATTTTGGAACTGCTTCTCTGTAGGCTGTAATTAATCAAATCTGTCATGAAGCTGAACGTATGACAACCGATGCGACTGTGTCTCTTTGTGATGTCGTGCTGTCACTGCAGGTCACAGGCTTGGATTTAGCCACAGGTGTTTGAACAAATCACTGTGCTCAGAGCAGATGTCTATCACAATAAATTCAAGCAGATTTGCTAAAGGTCGCGTTGTCATTGCCTGCTAGAATACCACTTTATAACGTTCACCCTCCCTTGGGTTGCCGCACAATTACTGTGATAAAACCCAGCTCTGCTAAATATTACAAACCTGGGCTGTCAATCTAAACAGCATGAGATGCTTTTGAAGAAATGTGTTACGCTCCATTCTATTTTTGATGAAGTGTGAAGAGTAATTTTAAAGACCCACATTGATAATAAGACTGCCAAGTGCTCTTAACGCTTACTACTTCTACAGCACGCACAGAAAAAGATTGTTTATTTTTAAATTCAGAGAGCCCATTTTCAGATATAATCTCAGTGTTTCTAACAGGCCTCTCTGTGACATTGGAGAGATCATTCAAAACACATTTCTGTCTCCTTTAAATTACTGTTTGTTATCATATGTTCTCATTTGCTGCTTTTCTTAGAAATGAGAAATGAAGTTCCATAAATAACACATTTCTTCTAGCTGCCATTGCTCAAAACTGCAGCAAAATCAAAGTTTTTTCCCCCCTCATTTGCATGTCCTTGATTTTACTGCTGATTGTTTATATATATTATTATATATATATATATATATATATATATATATATTGAGCTAAAATCAAGCTTAAGATCTTTGATCTGCCAAAATGTTTATTTCCATTTTATGTTTACTTGAAATAAAAATCTAGTATATAAAATATTCATCATTTGTTCATTTCACTCCAAACACATATGTCTTCCAAACTCTTTTTTTTCTCCATGCAGTTACAATGAATAGGGACTGAGGCTTCTCTGAAAATCTCTAGGGTCTCTGAAAATGTGTGGATACATACGCTTGTCCCTGTCCCTCAATATGTTGATCTTAAATAAATTGATCCGATTCACAAAACTGATCTGACTGAATTTGTTCACAAATTGGTTTATCATTTCAAGGGGAGGATTTTTAAATATGTTCTTCATTAATGTATGGTTTCAGAAGACTTGAAAATATATAGGGATTGTTTTTATGATATTTTAAGCTCGAAAGCCTCAAGTCCAGAGGATGAGCTTTTCTTTTCTTTTTGAGCAAAGGAACATGATACAATCTCTTCTGCTCTGAATTGCATTAACATAGTTCATATACATGAAACCTAACATGAAAGCTTATGCAGTGAAATAAGTGTGCCTTTTCACATTTTTGAGCAATGGATGTAATTAGGTTTAATATCATGATATTGATACATACATAAAAAAATTGATATCCATTTGAAAATGTTTAATAATATCCAAGCCTGTTCCATTCAATTCATAGAAGGTTCAAGTTAAAATCATGGATGCTGATTGGTCAATACAGCATTCTTATTATACAATGGTACACAACATATACTGTATGCTAAAATTTCCATCATGCCTAAAATTTCCCTTTACCTTTCCTAATAACTCCCTTCTGCTTTTAGTTACAGAATGTCATGTGCATTTAACTGATGTTGTTGTTTGGTTCTCTCTTTTACAGATGAAATCTACCCTAAAGTGTACCACACCTGCTTCTTTATTGTCACTTATTTTGCTCCATTATGTTTGATGGTCCTGGCATACATTCAAATCTGTCATAAACTCTGGTGTCAACAGGTATGTAAGTGTTCTTGACACTTTAAAGTTAAGCACAACTGCATTTATAAATTACACACTTTTTTCTGTAAACTCTCGTTCTGTTCCAACACATAATGATTTGTCTATCTGTCTCCTGCTTACTTGCACAGCTGCATGTTAGCATTGTAACTGAGATGGAACTTAGATGACTAGGTTTTGGATTTGGTAGTGCTAGGTGTGGTTTTGTTTACTACCAACTGCACAAATCTTATGTCTTTACTTGTGTATTCATTGCTGAAAATGTGGCTATATGGACATAGTCTAACGGGTGTGAATTGCTGCGCCATGACCCATAACACCATGCTTTATCCCTGAGCAGATTCCAGGAACATCATCGGTGCTTCAAAGGAAATGGAAGTCGCTGCAGTGTTCTGCCCATGCTGTAGGCTCAGGAGAATCGGTGAAAGTGAGAACCAGCACTGTCTCAGCGGAGATCAAACAGGTGAAAGCCCGACGGAAGACGGCACGCATGCTGATGGTGGTGCTGTTTGTGTTTGCACTCTGTTACCTGCCCATCAGTGTTCTCAACATCATGAAGAGGTAAGCACTATGATACTTGGCTGAGGTAGTGCATGTGCTTATTATAACACAATTATGCTTACGCCTCTTCTGTCCCTGTGTCTCAAAACATCTGTTAAGAACATGGCTGGATAATAAAAGTAAAAACAAAAACTGGAAATTTCGCATCCAACAAAGCTTATTTTTTTGGACCATTAATGTTTTGGGTTGTGACACAATTCTAATGCCAATTCATGAGGATTGTTTTGTGATTATTCTCAACTGTGATCCACATTAGTTCCCTTTTGAGTGGAACTCAACACTGCATCATTGTTGATGCTATGGGAATGCTTTAGCATTGGCCGGTGTCTGAAGCGTGTGTGAAAACACCCCGATCTTGATTGGCTCAATGTGAGATCAGGTGAGGTAGCGTGGAATGTCAGCAAAACCATAAGATGGAGCCAAGACCCCAGTTGTGTTTGGAATAGCATACTACCATACAACTCCTACTATAGTGCAGTATGCAATGGGTATACTGTGAATAGTATGTGAATTTTCTGTATGCATGGAATTCCTGGATTACCTGCTACATTTGCTGAAATTTGATGTATGCATCTGAGGATCACTGCATGGGATACTGTTTCCCACAATGTAAGGCACTCCACGTGACACTTCATCTTCAAATGCAAGAGTGAACTGGAGACAGGGATAGTAATTATAAATGTAACACTTTTATATGTACTTATATACATATTACTGTAAACTACACACGAGCAAATATTGCTCTGTATCTAAAAACAATATTGTTAGTAGGACATACCTGTAAATTGTACTGTACCTTAATCTATATGGCACATTTCCGATCAAGTCAAATGATGTCACCTTTATCACTATAGCACTTTATAGAGATTGTTTCAAAGAGATTAAATAATAATAATATTGCAGTAATATGATATATAAATAACATAAATAAAAATAATATTTAAATTATGCAAGCAGAATTCAAGAGAAGTGCAAGTAGCACAATTTGTTGGCAGAGGCTATTTACAGTAACTCCTTCCAGCAATGCCTGGCTGCGATAAACAGCACTGCAAAAGATGGCTGTTTACCTGCAGGATCAGTGGCGTAGCAAGTAAAACGCAAAGTAATTGACACGATCGACCTGAGTTTGAATCCACCTTTTGTCAAACTCGTCATCTTGCCATCACATATCAGATCAGAAAGGCATTTACTTTTAATAAAAATAAAGGAAATATTTGGAAAGTGGAAGTAAAACGCCTCAATAATAATACAGTGTTTATTGGGTATGGTTAGATAGGTGTAGGAAGGGCTTTATTGTTCCAATAAGGTGGCATCCATTTAATAATATTAATAAGTATGATAATTTACACTTAATGTTATTATTACATACTGTTTTATAATGTACTGCAGTACTGAAGTATAAATATCTGCCACCTAACTACTATTTACATTTAGCCTGTTGCTAAAGAAAATACTGCTATTTTAGTGTAAACAAAATTTATCATTATTTGCCCTTAGTGTAACTAAAATATATCACTTTTTCCACTTAACTGTCAAAAAGAAAACAATATCATTGTTCAGTTAAAGACAGCTCAGTGTTGATTCAGTTCACGTTATATTTTATGTAACTTTAATGTTGTATATCAGAGCACTGCCTTTGTATTTCTGACTGAATTGCCTAGCAACTTTTATGATGGCTGTTGTTGCTTATTAATTATTAAATAAATAATATTTTATATAAATAACAGTAGTTCCCTTTCAGTCGGTCACTCTCGACGTCACGTCGGATGACCGACGAAATTGGGATCTCGCTTAGAGGGACCAATCTTGGGGCAGCTAGGGGGTTACAAGGGTCCCCCCGGTGGAGCAGTTGGTTGAGATGCAGTTGTGTCCTAATACCGCCACCAACCGGCAGGGAGAACCGTGCCTCCCCTCCCGGGTCTCTAGGTACTCGACTGGCCAGCGATGCCTATACGACCTGTGGAGAAGCTGCCTCCGCCTTACACACTACGGCGTGATTGCAAGTGCACCAGGCCAAGGCACCGAGGGACTTGCACGAGGGTGGTCACGACCCGGAAGTTCGCAGAGAACTCCGCACCATGGCAGACCTCGCGCCACGAGCGACGAAGGTTACGGCACGATCTCTGGGTGTCTGATGTCCACTATGGTGGTCCGGGAGCACCATTTCTGGCTGGCTGACATGCGCGAGACGGACAAGAGACGATTCTTGAACGCCCCCGTGTCCCAGGCCGGCCTGTCGACGACACGGTGGAGAACTTGCCCAGCGGTTCTCCACTGACCAAAGCAGACTGAGGCCACCAGGTACATCCTGCCCCGGCGTGCAGCTGCTGCCGTCGCCGAGGGCGGCCCCCCTGCCACCGCCAAAACAAGAGCAGCGCTCCTGCGGCCTCCAGCAAAG